ACATCCACATCTGGAACATCAATGTCCACCTTGGGCCCTTTGATGTCAACTTCAGGCCCCTTGAGGTCACCTTCTACTTTGGGCAAAGAAACATCCACATCACCCTTCAGCTTTGGACCCTTCAGATTCAGGTCAACTTCAGGCATGGAGACCTTGGGGGCCTTGAGGTGCAGATCAGGCATCTTGAACTTGGGGCCTTTTAGTTTCCCTTCTGGACCCTGAATGTCAATGTCCGGAGGGTCCATGTCCACCTTAGGGCCTTTCAGATCTCCTTCTAGTTTGGGAATGGAAACATCCACATCTCCCTTTACCTTAGGTCCTTTCAAGTTCAAATCAATGTCACTCATGGAGATTTGTGGGGTTTTGAAATGGACATCAGGCATCTTAAATCTAGGACCTTTGAGTTTGCCTTCAGGAACTTCAATGTCCACCTCTGGCCCCTGCATATCACCTTCCATTTTAGGTAGTGAAAGAGACACCTCCCCCTTTGACTTTGGCCCTTTGAGATTTAAATCAAAGTCAGGCATGGAAATCTTGGGGGCCTTCATGTGCATCTCTGGCATTTTAAATTTGGGACCCTTTAATTTTCCTTCTGGACCTTCAATACTAACGTCAGGAGCATCAATGTCCACACCAGGGCCCTTGATATCAAGTTCGGGGCCCTTGAGGTCACCTTCTACTTTGGGCAGAGAAACATCCACATCTCCTTTCACTTTGGGACCTTTCAGGTGTAAATCAAGGTCAGGCATGGAGATCTTGGGGGCCTTGATGTTCACCTCAGGCATCTTGAACTTGGGACCCTTCAGTTTTGCATCCGGACCTTCGATATTCACATCCGGAACATCAATATCAACCTTGGGCACTGAGACGTCAATGTCGGCCTTGGGCAGGTTCACATCCACCTCAGGACCTTCTGCTTTGAAACCAGGCATGCTGAACTTGGGCATTTTCATCTTGGGCATCTTCAGGTGCCAGTCTGGGCCTTTCACATCCACATCTGGAGCATCAATGTCTACCCTGGGGCCTTTGATGTCCACATCTGGAACCTTCACCTCACCTTCTATCTTGGGCACAGTCACGTCCACGTCCCCCTTGACTTTGGGGCCTTTCAGGTGTAAATCAAGGTCAGGCATGGAGATCTTGGGGGCCTTGATGTTCATCTCAGGCATCTTGAACTTGGG